TGAGATGATTGAGGATTCAATTCTCAATCGATTGAGGATTCAATTCTCAATCGATTGTCACCAGTTTCATCCCTTAATCTCTGCTGGGTAAGAAGAAATATATTCTTTAATAAAAGCCGCCGGAGAATCGGTCGGGATCCTCCGGCGCTTGAAAAATTAATCGCTCCCCCTCTAATTGAGATGAAGGGATGAAACGACCGCAATCGATTGGGGATTCAATTCTCAATCGATTGAGGATTCAATTCTCAATCGATTGAGGATTCAATTCTCAATCGATTGAGGATTCAATTCTCAATCGATTGAGGATTCAATTCTCAATCGATTGTCACCAGTTTCATCCCTTAATCTCTGCTGGGGGAGGAGAAATGGATTTTTCAATGGGGAGAGCCGTTTGGGGACTCACTCCATGCTTCAAATATTCGTTTCTCCCCCTCTAATTGAGATGAAGGAATGAAACGACCGCAATCGGTTGAGGATTCAATTCTCAATAAATTGGTACCAGGTTCATCTGTTAATCTCTGCTGGGGGACGAGAAATGGATTTTTCAATGGGGAGAGCCGTTTGGGGACTTACTCGGTCCATAAATATTCATTTCTCCCTCTCTAATTGAGATGAAGGGATGAAACGACTGCAATCGGTTGAGGATTCAATTCTCAATCGATTGTCACCAGTTTCATCCCTTAATCTCTGCTGGGGGAGGAGAAATGGATTTTTTAATGAAAGCCGCAGGAGAATCGGTCGGGATCCTCCGGCGCTTGAAAAATTCATCGCTCCCCCTCTAATTGAGATGAAGGAATGAAACGACCGCAATCGGTTGAGGATCCAATTCTCAATCGATTGTCACCAGTTTCATCCCGTACTCTCTGCTGGAGGAGGAGAAATAGATTTTTCAATGGGAAGAGCCGTTTGGGGACTCGCTCGATCCATAAATATTCGTTTCTCCCCCTCTAATTGAGATGAAGGGATAAAACAGATCGCAATCAGTTGAGGATTCAATTTTCAATCGATTGGCAACCGTTTCATCCCTTCGTCCTCATTAGGGAAGGAGAAATTGATTGTTATATTAAGGGCAGGATTCCGCCGCCTGTCGGCGTTTCGAACTGCGGTAGGTTTCCCTCACCTACTCGACAGCGAACATCACCGCTCGCTCCGCCCACCGATTCCCCCATACACGTTCCCCCCCACTCTGCGCCATTATCGACGCTCTCACACGCTCCCTGTTTTACTTACAGGTACATACTCAAAATTAGTTCTGCGCCACCGCTACGAAATTTTACGGTTGAAGCGTTTCCATAGGCGCTAGCAAAGAGGATTGACTAAAGTAGAGGCTCAGATCTCGGGGTTAGACTGACCCCAAGCCAAAAGTAGTTCGACCCCAACGGAGGGATGCCGCCACGGTCGGATCTGACGGCTGAGCGAACTGCCGGTGCGGGTAATTCGGCAGTAGCAGTCCCGCTGTCACAGGGATAGTTTCGGAGTGGAATCTGTGTCCTCCTCG